GAAATTCTCTTTCATATCCCCCTCTCCTACGTTTCTCCTTCTCTTACCCTTCCACTGTAGTTGAATCACAATTTTTGGTTAAAAGAAGTCAGCTTTCACATTGTAATGATCATGTAAATTTTGTTCATTCATGAGTGAATAAATGTTGTCTCTGCCCACATGTACCTAGAGTTAATAATAGACGTATGTTTTCATTTCCTTCATTTTCTACATACCTCTTATTTTTACCCCCAATGATCCATCTGATATCAGACATCTGTTAATGTTTTTGTAATGCTCAAACGCCTCCCATAATCAGGTTGATTTTTTAATTCTGAAAACCTCCCTTCTACCACTCTGATCCCTTCTGCTTCAACCTGGACTGGTTATTTTCTAGGCCTGGTGCAAGCCCATTGTCTTGGGACTTCTCTTTGCTTCTCTTCTGTGTTGGCTCCCGTTTGCAGCATTCTGTGTCTTCCTTTTTCTTGCATTACTCCTTGCGTTGCTGAAGCTAAGAAAGGTGCACAGCAGGTATATTGTCTTGGAATGAATGGCAGTGTCTATCTAATAGGCTCCCATTTGATGATTTGGCTGGGTTCAGAATTCTAGGAAGAAAATGATTTTCTGTTAGAACTTTTAAGATATTTCCCACTAGATATTAGCAACCAGTGTATTATTGAGAAATCTAATGTCATTTTGATTTCTGTTCCATTACAAGAAACCTGTGGTTTTTTTTTTTTCTTTCTTTTTCTGAAAGGCTATGGGATTCTCTATTTATTTTGAAATTCTGGAACTTTACAATAATTGTGCTGGATACTTGGTAAGCCATTTCAATCTCAAGATGTGTGACCGTTAATTCTAGGAATGTTAATTGTATTATGTCCTTAATAATTTTCTCCTCATGCTTTCTCTGTTCCTTTTGGAACTCTTACTGGTCACATGTTGGACTTCCAGGATTAACTTTCTAATTTTCCAATCTTATCTTTTTACTTTCCATCTTGATCTTTTTTTCCATTCTGAGAAATTTTCTTGACAACATTTCTATTTGATTTTTATTTTTAGCTATCAAAGTTTAAATTTATAATAGTTCTTTCTGGTTCTCTGGTTGTCCTTTTTTCACAGTATACACTTCTTGTTTTATGGACACATAAAAATCTTCTAATACTCATTTTGTTGATATGGTTTCATGTTAAAAAAAAGTTTTCTTTTGCTCTCTGCCTTGTTGCTGCTTCCTGGGTTTTTTGTTTGTGGACTTTTTGGGCCCTTTTTCTTTTTCTTTTTTTTTTTTTTTTTTGGGACGGAGTTTCGCTCTTGTTACCCAGGCTGGAGTGCAATGGCACGATCTTGGCTCACCGCAACCTCCGCCTCCTGGGTTCAGGCAATTCTCCTGCCTCAGCCTCCTGAGTAGCTGGGATTACAGGCACGCACCACCATGCCCAGCTAATTTTTTGTATTTTTAGTAGAGACGGGGTTTCACCGTGTTGACCAGGATGGTCTCGATCTCTTGACCTCGTGATCCACCCGCCTCGGCCTCCCAAAGTGCTGGGATTACAGGCTTGAGCCACCGCGCCCGGCTGGGCCCTTTTTCTTGTTAGAGCTTTAGCAAATATTTGATGATCCCTGGCTGTCCTTTCATGTTTAAGCTTAAGTGGGGCTTGTTGACTAAGGACCTTCATATTAAGGTTACTAAATAGTGAGCCTTTTAATTAGGGTTCTCCAAGGTATCTGAAGGCTTTTCTCTAGACTGCTCCATGTATCCAAAGAAGCCCTCTTTTTCCTAATAGGATGCCAATATGCTTGGTACTCTGGGGGCTGAGCGGGAGAAGGGGGCTGCCAGTTCCATAATTTGGTATGTACGCTTGTACTTAATCCCCATTTTCAGCCCCCTGATTAACCCCCAAGTTTCACTTATCTGGATTTCCTGAGTCAGAAATTTGTCTGGTTCAATTTCTCCAGAGAATAAATCCTTGTTCTTCTGTAAGTGTGCTTGGGTGTTGGGACAGTTGGATATACAAGGTGGGAGAAGCTGTGGGGTCCTGCCTGTTTTCAGTCCTGTACCTCCTTACTTTCCACTATCTGGTACTTCCAAGCACTGAAACTCTCTGGGGTTCTGCTGGGAAAGCAGCTTGCCTCTCAGCAGTACCCCCTTTGCAGGCCCTTGGTTTGCCTCAACTCTGGCAAGTCAGTTACCACTGTTGCTCCTTTTCTGTTCTCTTTGACCTTACAGATTAGTACCCTTTTAATTTTCTTACTGTTATTCTAATGGGGACTCAGTAAGGAGGCAAGTGCCAAGTTGAAAGATCAGTATCCCTTTTACATTACAGGCTGAACCTCCTCGGAAGAGCAACTGGAGACAGAAGCACGAATATTTTATCCGTACCCTCCGCCAGGCTCGAGAGGTCCAGCAGGTAATTGCCAAAGGTGGAAACCCTTCAGACTTGCCTCCCATCCTGCCTTCAGAAAACCCAGACTACATTCAGTGTCCTCACTGTAGCCGCCACTTTGCTCCCAAGGTGGCTGAGCAACACATTCCCAAGTGTAAGACCATCAAGAACCGTCCTCCACCTCCAAGGAAGCATTATAGTTGAGCAGACAACAGTGGAAACTTTTGGATAGTTCAGAAAGCTCTGCTTTTCTTCAGGAGTAATTGGGAGTAGAATTTGATACAAAACAGAAAGAAACGAAACAGCTCCCAGATCTGCCTGCAGAGCTAAAATCTGAGGAGAGAGCCACTGCTAAGCAGCAGGAGGCAGAAGGAAGCCCCAGCTTCCCACTAAATTACAACCTCGGGCTGGTATGCTTTATGTTACTGCACTCAGAATTGATGGGTGAAGACACTGAAGAGTTGGGAGCAGGCTCCATTAAAGCTCTTTTCTTGCATGCCTGACTTGTGGTTTGTGCTAGTGAAGTGCCTGCGTCTGGTTGTGCCTTCTTGTCACTACCTGTAGATTCATAGTTCCTGTTAATTCTTGCTTTTGTAGAAGTTGGAGTTATTAGGACATGTTGGTGTCAGAGGGGCATGATCACCGAGATGGTAACTCTTTTATAAAAGACAATACAATTTTCCTGTAAGACATTATTAATGAAAATCTATCCTTGGTCTCCCTGGTGCATGATCCTGGCCAAAAACCAATGCAAGTATGTAAGGTTAAGGCATCAGTGTCTCCTAACCTTCCCTGTGGTGTACTGTGTAATAAAGGAAAGATCTTTATGTATTTCACAGGGTAGGGATGGGTGTTGGGGTGACACATACTTCTCTCTACTTGTTCTTTTCTAATGGGTTTCATATGTTAAAAAAGAAAGAAACCTCTATGTTAGTTGTTACTCGCACTGTACTTTCAAATCGGTTGGGCTAAATGACTGTTTAGAGGCAGCAAAATCTACCATAAAAGTGAGCTGAGACAGGCTGGGCATGGTGGCTCATTCCTATAATCCTAGCACTTTCAGAGGCTGAAGTGGGTGGACTGCTTGAGGCCAGGAGTTTAAGAGCAGCCTTGACAACAAAGCAAGACCCCATCTCAAAACAAAACAAAGCTGGGACATTGCACAGTGTCACATGCCCTTGCAAATTGTAGCATAGTCAACTTCTATTTCAGAGAGTAAACTTTGAAGGGAAAGGGATCAAATCTTTTAAATTTTCTCTGTGTAGCATATTGCCTAGCACAAGTTAGATCCTCAATTAATGAGATCTGGAGATTTAAAATTAAACAAAAAGATGAGCGAGACCTAGACTAGTGAAATGAGAGAACTGATAAGTTAGTGTCTGTGAGAGTATTATCAGTTCAGATAGGAGTGAAGTTAGCACAACAGATAGAAATCCTAGGATTACTGTTCTGCATTACTCACATTGTTAGTTTAAAATACTGGAGAAAAACTGCTCAATTTGAGCTAGGCAACAGGGCTAGACAGACAACAAAATCCTATTTTACAAAATAACAAATGGCCACTTACTCTTGTTCCATTTCCTCTGCAGCTTTTGCTGAGTGGCTGGGCTAACAGACCAATTTGAAATGTGAGTTGAGGCTCAAGTGGTGAAACTACAGGACATAGGCTGGGAAAAAAAAATCCTATATATTTAAATATTTAAATATATAGGATTTTACATATAAATACCTATTTCTTTGCACTTTTTTGTTTTTGAGAGACAAGAGTCTCGCTCTGTCACGCTGGCTGGAGTGCAATGGCGTGATCTCGGCTCACTGCAACCTCCGCCTCCCAGGTTCAAGCCATTCTCCTGCCTCAGCCTCCTGAGTAGCTGGGATTACAGGTGTGTGCTACCACTCCCGGCTAATTCTTTGCACTCTTTTTAATTGTTTCAAAGGAAAGGAGGTATCACATAATAAAGCTTTTGGTTAGCCCCTTAAGGAAAGCTCACACAGAGATACTGGATAAACCTAATATGTACATTCTCTAGGCAAGTTCAATGAAATATATGCTTTATAAGTGGAAATGTAAACTCGTATATTGCAATAGATGGCAGGAATAAGCTGTGGCCAAGGTCACAAAATGGCAACATGTGGAATGCTTTGCTCCACAGATGTTTTATTTAGCTGGCTTGTCATTCAAAATATAATCTGACATTTAAAAACTGGGATATGGGGCTGGGCGTGGTAGCTCACACCTGTAATTCCAGCACTTTGGGAGGCTGAGGCGGGTGGATCACAAGGTCAGGCGTTCAAGACCAGCTTGCAAGATGGTAAAATCCCCTCTCTACTAAAAATACAAAAATTAGCCAGGTGTGGTGGCGTGCACCTATAATCCCAGCTACTCAGGAGGCTGAGACATTGCTTGAACCCAGGAAGTGGAGGTTGCAGGAGCCAAGATTGCGCCACTGCACTCCAGGCTGGGCAATAGAGCAAGACTCTGTCTCAAAACAAAGAACAACAACAACAAAAACGAACAAAAAACAAACTTGGGATATGGAACATCTCTTGAAAAACTGGAAGTTCTAGAAACACTGGGCCAGCAACCTGTACAGCACAGATTGGGTGGGGTTTAGAATCAGATGCTCCTTCAAATGGGAATGGTAGCAGCAGACCAGTCTCACCTGGTCTACTTCACTTCTTTACCTTATTTGCCTGGTCACAGGCACTTGGATTTGGGATCCCTGGATAATGTTAGTAAGGTCACAGATCAGGGCCCTCCAGATAGAACAAATTGTTGTTACATGTGGAGAGGGCTTTCTATAGACAATGAAGCAGTTATTCACTCTCATTTTGCTAAAGAAATAAAACAATAGTCAATGCCTTAGGGTTCCCTTTAATCTCTACATGTTTAGGCCTTGGAAATAGCTGTCAACTTTTAAATTTAGCTTGATCTGGTCTCTGGGAAGTTGTAAGAACCTTTTAAAAAAAAAAAATGTAAATCTTGGGCCAGCTGAGGTATCTCATGCCTGTAATCCCAGCACTTTGGGAGGCTGAGGCGGGCAGGTCACCTGAGGTCGGGAGTTTGAGACCAGCCTGATCAACATGGAGAAACCCCGTCTCTACTAAAAATACAAAAAAAAAAAAAAAAAAAAAAAAAGGCTGATAGGAGAATCGCTTGAACCTGGGAGGTGGAGGTTGCGGTGAGCTGATGTCGCGCCATTGCACTCCAGCCTGGGCAACAAGAGCGAAACTGTCTCAAAAAAAGAAAAAAAATCTGAATCTCTTCCTGGATAGCTCAGCGGATAGCAGTAAATAAATGCATGCTTGTTAATGTCTGTATTTTTTACTACTTTATCCAAGAACCTTTAGTGCAAGTAAACATTTTAAGTTCTAAAGCTCAAAAGGTTGATCCGTGGGAAAAATTTCATAGGGAAACTCACATAAAAACTCATTTCATGAAAAATATGTGCGGATGTGCTGAGACAGTATTTCTGGACAGCAGTGTATGTAATGCAGCACAGCACCCACCTTCTAACCAATGTTTGCTTTCATTATCAATATGTCACTCTCCACAGCTTCACAGGAGGCAACAGAAATGTGACATAGTGGAGTTTTTCGCCCTAATGTTTTATAGTCCTGATTACAACCCACTCTGCCCTAACCATGAATACTTTTTTGGGGTTCGGGGATTTCATCTGAGTGAATTTATTTAAAATGCATTCTTGCTTCTGAATTGTTCTATTATGAATGTTTGTGAACATATGGCAAATGAAATGAAAACTTTTAGTCTACTTTTGCTTTAAACTTCAGTGAAATGCTCAGCCAAGAGAAGTTGTAACTTGGCTATGCTATGCCAGGGAGACCAAATTCAGTTCAGTCTCTTTGAGGGAAAAGTTTCACAAACCATAAACTGGCATTATCACTTGGAAAGGCCCCCCACTGAGATGGTGGAGGCAGGTACAAGAAGGGATCATCCTCCTTTTAATGGCTCATTTTTTCCCTCCCTTTGTCCTTTCGGCACTTTTAGATCTTATTGGGAAAAAAGCTGTAGCAGCAGAAATGATTCTGTTGGCAAGAATAAGAAACTGGAGAGAAGCAAAGATTATTTCTGTGCAAATGTCCCTTACATTGTTTCTGTTCCAAGAACATTATTTATATAAAGACTCACAGAATCAAAGATTCACAAAGGCCTAGAATCTGGATGTTTTATCCCCAGAGACTAAGGTCCATGCACAGACTTACCGAGGCACAGTACTGATTGAGAGTTTAAATGTTTATTTAAAACAGAAATGCCAAACCACTCCACCCTCAACCTTTCAAGCAACCTGGCTAACAATAAGCTAGTTCTTCCGCAACAATGTTAGAGCAGAGGAGTAACTCAGGTTATAGCGTAACTCAAAAGCAATACTACTAGAAAACTTAAAAACACCTAGCACTGCATAAAGAAAAAAAGCAGGACAAAATTTAGAGAGAATTAGCTACAGAAAACCATTCAAAGGCATTTCTACTGCCTCATTTTTTACTCTATCCCCCTTTGAACTGGTTTCTGTCTGCATACTTGTTTGGTGGAAAAAAAAGTCATACGGCTGTCCCAGGCACAATATGGGAAAGTGCAAATTGTCTCTAAGGCACAGAACTTAGATTCTCAGCCAGATTAATAGCAAATCTAGACTTCCCAAGGGAATATGCTAGAGAAAATGACCACAGCATTGCACTGCTAGGGAAACACTCCCCTCTGAACAAGAGCAAGGCCCTCACCCACCCCCGGTGCTCACTTTCACCCCACCTTCTTGGCAACATGCTCATGTCCATCAGATCCACGGCAGAAGCAATCCTCATGATGAACACCCAAACTGACCTGGCCTCTCAGGCCTGCTGAGATGATGAGCATGAGGATACAGGGACATGATAGGCCAATCAGTCCTTAAGAAAATCAAAGTTGTATTTACATGCTGAACCAAAACCCATTGTAAGGGTTTATGGCAATCCGAAGTCCCCAGAACTTGCAACTTTAATCAAAGTTTGGCCGCTTCCCTTATTTC